TTCAGAAATCCTTTGGTCTTATTTTCATCTCGGTTCTCTTGAGGGAGTAATGATAACCCTTCCATTCTTTCCAGTTCACTCCATCAGCATAAGAGGAGTGATTGCCACGAAGATACAAGCCATTGAGATTTGAGCGGTGACACTTCCTGTACCACCAGGCTCCTTTGAACTTAATGGCGCAGTTGTGATCCCTCTGAATGTCATTATCTTGATCTCTAGTGGTGAATGGCATATCGCGATGCTTGGTAAGAGAGTCACCAGAATTTCCTGACAAAATGAGCCGCACTATGAGTATTACGTTTGACCAACAATGAGCCGTTCGTAATTCAAAAGAAATCTTAAAATATAAGATAAGTATAATTTAACAATGATAATATGGATTAAAAGCATTCTTAGTAATATCTATGATTCTTGTCGATGATTGTAGGGATTAAAATACTCAATATAATGATTACAATAAATATGTTCGCCGAGACACTCCTCCGATTTGGATTAGTTGGTCAGGTTAACTGCGAAAGATCCACCGACGAATAGATTTGGACTAATCAACGTCCGGTATGCGCTGTCCAGGATTGCATGGCGATGAGCTGAGGTTACTTCTTTGTCTTCCAAAGCTATTGATGTAAAAGATTTTAAGCATACTTACATTACTTAGCTCTCTCCTCCCCTCCCCCCCCCCCCCCAACTTCTTAGAATGACTAGAATAGAGGAGACAAAATGACAGTTCTACCTGAATAAGAACCAAGGATCAGCTTGTACTTGTCTTTCCCACTCATAACACTAAACAAGTTATACTCAGCATAAGCTGTGTTTCCTTCAAAGTCTTCAAAATCCACACGCAGCGTGTTATTATCATCTGAGGTCAAGCGGTGAATTTTGTCCAGTCCGAGCCAAAACTCACCACACAGGTCACCAAAGCCACGTTTGTAGTCGTTCCAGTAGCGGTAGAAATCAACCGAGCCGTCCAGTCTCTTCTGGAACACAGTCCATCCTCCACCCTCCGTTGTTTGGTCACAGAATACATCAAAGGCAGGCAAATTATCAGGTTTAATGGCGTAGACACCGTCAGCTGATTTACCCGCGGATTTGTACATTTCTGCGCAGTTTCTTTTGACTGAAAATCAGTTAAAAACAAAAAACAAAACAACACCCCTACTTTAAATTGTTTGGATATTGATATTATTGCTTTCCTGACTATTGATCTGGCTGATAAAACTTGATTCTGAACATTAACAAATACCATTTATTCTTCCTTAATATCTACCAGCTATATTCATTTAAAGTGACCGTACGTGGCTTTTCCTTTTTAGCTTTCATTCAGTGGTTAATATTTTTTTCTTGAAGTCAATTTTGAAACTTTAGTGAGTAACTCCTCGCGTACTACACGAGAGACTGGTCTACAGAATCCAGCCATTTTACCTTCAACTTGGCAGGTTTCTCCAGTGAATTTTTCCTGA